CCAACATAAAAAACAAAAACAATAATATACAAAAATTGTTTATGTTAAATTGGTTGACTAATTTCTCACTAAAATACAAATAGCACATATTTTAAAGATTTTATGTGTTTCCCAAATGTCTATTAAACACTTAATAGAATATACCAGATTTGACTTTCAAGTTTTTTTTTAAGTTCAAAGCTTTGTACTTTTTGTATTAAAAACTACTTAGTAAGTTTTCCAAATCTATTTCGAGCTCGAAAAATGTTTTTAAATTTCTTTAAAATGTCTAAAAATTCCAAATATAATACTTGATAAAATTTAAATAATAATATTTATAAAAGTCTTCTTAGTACTTGTTATACTCAACACTTTCCACAAGTAAAATGCCATAAATTCATGTGCCCAAACGAAATCGAATTTTTGTTGATTACATCTTTAAATGGTTTAACACCCGCCTCCGAATGGAAAATTGTTATTAATTAATATGTAATTGTAATGGGCAGGCGACATGACATGGGCCCACATATGTGTCCAAAAGTGGGTGTTGCATGGGCTTATGTGTCAAATCGCTGCCGGCCTTAACAAATTAATAAACTTGACCAGACACGAGAAAACCGCATAAATCAATTTGAGTAAAAATGCGCTAAACAATCATAAATAATAATTAAATGCTGCTCAAACTATTTTGGGCAATGAACCGCCCTCACTCTGCTGAATTTCCCGTTCTGTGGGATAATTAAAAACTGTCGGTAATTATTGAAATTTGTGGCCAGCGTCAGACATTGGTTAACCGAATGGCGCGTAAATTACAAAAAATTACTCACAAAATTTAATTCAATTAATTGGAGTCAGTTTGGCTTTTGAGGGAATGCGATATAGATAACCTGGCTGTCATCTCTTTTACATGGCTCGTTAGCTGTTTGCTTCCGCTTCCTGTTTCTATTCCTGTCATCTATCTAACAATTTGTGACGCCTAATTGGGCAAAGGGTAGCTACTAGCTACCTATATAGCCCACATACATCCACCGTTTATATATATATATATATATATCGGAGCACACATATCCATCTCGAGTGGACAAAGTGAACTTTCCTCTTCTAATTGCACATTTGTATGCCTAATCGATCTGTCCGATTCGATTTGTTTTCACGTCTCTCATGGAATTTGTGTGCCCTGTTGACTTTTTCCATAGCTTCTAGCTACCTCTTTCATTTGCTTCTTGCCATCTCTTTTTCGGTCTCCTTAGGGGGTTACTTGTTAGTCAGGTGTCCGTTTGAACGGTTAAAGCAAATGAAGCGTGACATTTTTCACATTTTCTTTTCTTTTTTCTGGTTGGGGGCGGAAATTGCCGGGAGGTCAGCGCTCTGTGTATGTAAATTGGGTTCATGACAAAGGATTTTGATGGGTATGTTTTCTGAGCAATCAATTGCTCTTTAACTGGCTGATAGCATGTGCATCAACAGATTGGTCGTGGTGTATAGGGTTAAGTGGCCAGAATGTAACTGTGAACGGTGAAAGTGTACAAATAGTTGATAAAGATGACTGGGTCGTACTTTTCTGTTATGCAGTAATTTTGAAATATTTTTATAAGTTTTTCTAAGGGGGGTCTTCAATTACCTCCGTCATATCGAAAAAAAAAACTATTAGTTGATTTGACTGAAGTTAAAAAGACTTAGAGTTTAAAAAACATTTTGTTAAAATATATTTCCTATTTTATTAAAAAAAAAAATTCTTTCAAATTATTACAAAAAATAAACTAGAAGCCCAATCCTCACAAAATGTATATTTGATGGGTAAGCAACCAGTCGAAATAGTGAGTTATTTTTGTCAAATGGCAGACTTATAGTCCCATAATCGACTGAATATCTGCAATCACTTTATGTTCGGTATTGACATCACACTGCCCACTGTATCTGCCTTTTTCACAGCTAGTCTCTGCTTTAAACCCACTGTCCATTACGAACTGTCATAAGCGGCTTAGCTGAAGTTGATTAGGAGCTCTCTCTTTCGCACATTGATTGCGTGTTGCAACAAACGCTGATCATGTAAATCCTAAGTTGCAAGTTTATGTGTTGCATGCACTCTCTGCATATGTATTTTTATAGATATCGGAGTAATGCTGCCCAGACGGCCACGAAGCCCACATGCAACTACAACTCCGCCGTTGCACGCAATTAAAATCTTCATTAGCCGCGTTTAATTTCCACTTTTGATTAAAATAAAAATAAGGAAAAACGAATATCGAAAGAGACGGGGCAGAAAGGCAGAAAAATCTTGTGACATGTGTCGCTGCTTATCGCCATCAGCCGCCAGCAACAAGTGGAGTTTTCAGCAGGAGTCGGGGCCTTGGATCCGGTCCTCGAGCAGGACTCCAATGCCATCCACTGCACTCCACTGCCCTCCACTCCTGGATTCGAACTCGGAGCCGGACACTTTGCCTGATTAACGTTGGCCGCTTCGCAGAGTCGCTATCAATGCTGGGCCTAAGTGACAGTTGACTTGTTTATCAATTGACAGACGTTGTTTTCCTTTTTCCTTTTCCTTTTTTTTTTTGTGTATTTTGCTTTTTGTTTTTAGTTTGGGTCGGATAACTGTTAATAAGCTTGTTCCGCGGCCTGTGAAAATGTTGCTTTTAATTAAAAGTCGTCGGAGCCGCTTGAATGTTGTTGGAATGTTTTGGCTGCTTTGCCTGCTGTTTTGTAAGCTGTATTTTAAAGCCCGATGCTGTCACGATAGCGGCCAAAGAGCTCATGTTCGACAACTAAGTAGTTGCCACAAGTCAATACATTGTGTGTGTGCATAAATATTTCCCCCCGTTTTTGCCATTAAATCATGTTCACGCCGATCAGCCTACGCAATGCGAAACATTCGGTTCTCATTGAGATAAAGATAAATTCCCTGTACCAAAAAATGTATTTCGCAATTGAATATTTGGCTTGTGAAAGGGAGTCTTGCATTAAGTAAATAAATTTGACTTCTTGATTTGCAACATACTTTTGCATTGATGAAATTTAATTTAACGTAAATCATCTCAGTTGCTTCTATTTTTATTTATTTTCCAATAAATCCTTTTATACTATTTATAATCATACATTTTGTACAAGTTGATTTGTAAAGCTGTGTAAAATATTGTTCTAATACACTTAAAGTAGTATAAATAGGTACAATGGAATTTAAGTATAACATTTACTCAAAGCTTAAGAAACGAAAAGTTAAAAAAAAAAAGTTTTCAGTAGTCTCAGCATCGATAGTTATTTCAAGTTTCCAGTTGGTTTATCTATTCTCTTGCACTTCAAACTCTGGTCAGTTATTACTTTTTCCTCTAATTTCTGACTTTTGCTTCTCTGCCATTTTAATTGGTTTTCTTTTGCTGGCCGGCGACCACAAACAACGGGCCAAACTTCTTGGCAACCAAAACTTTTTACCACTCTGGACATGTTTATTACTTTGCCACAATTAAGCCATATATTTCTTGGACAAGAGTTGCTCTCCAGCTGCTTTACTACGTTTTTTCCTGCCTCCAGTTGTGGGTCAGTGGATTAGTTTTCAGGCTTTCCAGCATTGTTTTTCCCAGTTTGAATGCATTCGAGTGTCTCCCACTCTCTAATGAGCTGTGCCCGCAATGAAGTTCAATGTTGTGGCTTGTAAATCTCCCCACATGTGCTCCACTTTCCGGCAGAATCCCATTTCCATAAATATCAATTAAGCGAGAGGAGCGACTATCAAAAGTGACAGAAACATGTGGATGAGTCTCGAGTTTCCCCGCACAGTTGGCTTCTGGGCTTCTGGTCTTCTGGTCTTTGGTCTTCTGGTTTCCCAACTGGCTACCTGCCCTACGCAGTTTTATAATTGGACAATTTACTGAGGGGCTGCCCCTGGAAATGTCCCCCTCCTAAACTCTCCAGTCGAGCTCATCAAGTTCTGCAGTCCATGGTCTGGAGTCTATAAAATGTAACTGGGGGAAATGTTACCATTTAGGCGTTGAGGCGTGAAGCGCAATGTGGGCGTGCCCATCAGAATTGAAGTCGTGTGCTGGGGTTAAAGCTACGCCCCATTGGATATACCCGAATACTCCAATACCCCAAAATTCAATTAGTCAAAGTCGAAAAGCTTTGCTCACAGTCCCGTAAGCAGCTTAGTTTTCCACAAACACACACACACACTCACACACACGAAAATTGTTATGAAAATGCTTTCACTAATTTTCAAAGCTCTTCTAATTACACTTTGAGTTTGGGGCTGGAATTTTCCCAACGAGATGATGTTTCTTAGTCATTTGGCATCCACTAAGCGGTCACTAAGCGTCAATATTTCATGCCTAAGCCTATTAAAGATTATTGTGCCAGCTTACACAGACGCAAATGACAAGTGGCGGGAAAATCGGAGGAAAATGGAAACTGGCGGGACATGCCAACAATGTGTGGAGTGTCAAGCCTTGATTGGAGCGCATATTGGCTGGCTGATTTGCATAATGTTGGATAAATAGTTGTACAAGTATTCAGGGATATTATTAAACTTGTCAAGTACTTAGTATCGTATCGATTTTTAAAGCTATAGTCTAGTTTTGGCCACATAGTTTTATTTAAATTAATTAGAAACATGTTTAAAGACATAAATAAAATTCTCAAGTATTAGTACAAGCAGTATATCATTTTATCAGCTTTAGAAATCAAGTTACACAATTTACGACCCCATTAAAGCTCTTTAATTTAGCATTAATGAAAAGTGCAACCTACTGGCAAACTCCCCCAAAAACCCCCGTACAAATATGGCCCCTTTTCCTGTCAGTTCAAACCCTGATTGTTAGTTAACCTGCGAGGCATTTACACTTTGCTGGCAAACATTTCATGAATTCATTTGTGCGACAGCCTGGAAAATGTGTTGCCAAAATGAAAAGTTGCCCAGCCAGACGATGCCAGTTGGGTGATAGAATAAAACGTGATTAGCAGGCTGATTTTCTGCTTTAAATGGATCATCCATCACAGTATCCAGTTTAGTTGTGAAGAGTCCAAGAGACATGAAGCTTCAGTTACTTTTGATCGGTTTGTCTTGCGGCTTGTGTTTTTCTCGTCTAACCGACAAGAGAATTCGGCCAACTAAAGAAAATCTTTTTGAGTGGCTGGGCTCGATATTTCTACCACCAGTTACTACAACAACGACTTCAGCTCCTGTGATAGGAACAACTTCAACTACAACCAGAAGGACAACAACAACGACAGCCACAACTACAACTACAACTACGACAACGACTTCAAGACCTCCGGTGGAAAATTTTCCTATAGATAGGGATTGCGCTTCATGTCGTTGTGGACTGATCAACACCCTACATAAAATCGTAGGAGGTGAGGAGACGCGGGTTCATCAATATCCCTGGATGGCAGTGATTCTGATCCACGATCACTTCTATTGCTCGGGATCACTGATCGATGATCTATATGTCCTAACAGCAGCCCACTGTGTGGAGGGAGTTCCACCTGATCTTATTTCCCTGCGGTTTCTCGAGCACAATCGTAGTCATACGAATAAAGATATAGTAATTGAAAGACATGTCTCCAGGGTAAAGGTCCATGAACTATATAACCCCCGAAGTTTTGACAACGATATAGCAATCCTTCGACTCAATCAACCCGTTGACATGGAGAATCACCGATTGAGACCCATTTGCCTGCCCGTACAAGCCTTCAGTTTTGATCATGAGTTGGCAATAGTCGCTGGTTGGGGATCTCAGAAGGAAGGAGGCTTTGCCACCGACACTTTAAGGGTGAGAAAGAAGCTATAAACTGTGAGTGTTAGCTAACAAAATTTATTTAAAATTCAGGAAGTTAAGGTTTTAGTGATACCCCAATCGGATTGCCGGAACTCCACTTCATACAAGCCGGCACAAATAACGGACAACATGATGTGTGCTGGATACATTTCGGTGGGTGGCAAGGACGCCTGCAGCGGCGATAGTGGAGGTCCACTGCAAACGACCTTCGATGAGACGCCGGGGCAATATCAGCTGGCGGGGATTGTTTCCTGGGGCGCCGGATGTGGCAGACCCCAATCTCCGGGAGTTTATACCAGGGTCAATCAATATCTCCGCTGGATAGGATCAAACACTCCAGGAGCATGTCATTGTATGCCCTATCCCGAGGAGGATTACTGACATTGGTATTTTAAAAAATGTTTAATTTAAAACAGCATTTATTATAACACAATATTTTATAACAGAACAATAAATAAAATATAATAATAAATCAAAAATCATAAATAATGATTAAATAAATTCTAAACTGTTTGAGTTTTAAAACAGTTTACTAACACACCTTTTTTTAAAAATATAGTACGTACAGGCAATTAAAATTATACATCTAAGTTTGCTTGATAATTTAATTAAATATTTAAATATACTCAAAAAGTTGAGTGTTAAAACATTAAAGATATTTTGCAAAGTGCACAAGTGTACACATGATTGCAAGCCATCCAGCACATCGATCAAAAGTTTGAGCTAACTTTTTGGGTAGATTTTAGCAAATGTTGCATAAACTACTTGGAATTCGCTTTGCATACCCCCTGGGGAACATCTCTATATCCATAACCACATCCGTAACTGTAGCTGTTGGCAAATAAAAAAGCAATTCGGAACTGGGTTACAACACTTGAAGGTAAGCTACATACTTCGGTCCTTATAGCTCCTTGGAGAAAAGTTTGCCAAGCAGATGGAACGAGGCCATATCTCATACATATAAATCCCAATTTACTGGCGAAATATTTTGTGCAATTGTGATTGTTATGCATTTTGCATTTGTGCAATCATGAAATAACTCTCTACCTGCTCGCAAAAATGGAAAGAAAGCCCAAGGACGCGGCAAACTCACAGGAGCAAGTTTCACTGCCATTTGTGGCTAGTTTTACAGTCCGTGTATTGCTTATTTACAAAGTTGGATTTCGAAAAGGCATACAGATAAGCGCAAAGTTCTTAACAAATGTACATCAAATTATTTACACGGGGGAACTGGTAAATTGAGTTTCGATTTGTTGGTAATCGAAAGTTAAGGTTCGTGAGATGGAAAGTTTTTAATATGAATAAAATTATGTTTTTATGATCTTTGTTATATTGGTAAAATGAAATGAAATTTAAATTTTATTGCTGGCATTTTGATTGATGATATGGCCAATCAGCGATGTTAATATATGGATGATATTTTCTAAGTTTCGCCGTATAAAAACTATTAAATTGCTATCTATATACGATTCCTCTTCCCCTTTATAACCATATATAGCCCACACTCAACACCTCATTTCCTTTGGCATTTTCCCATCAGAAGACAAATTGCCAAACCCTAAGGAGAGATCTTTTCGTGTTGCCCCCCATAAAGCATAAAGATACATATGTAAATAGTTTTACCATCGCTTTGCGTCATTAAAAATCTTTACGACTCCATATTAAAGTCAGACAAAAAACGGGAAAAATACAGGAGAGAAGGGAGAAATACGAACAGTAAAGGAACATTAATGCCTTGCCAATAAATTTGTCTCACCACCAGAAACTCGTAAAGATTTCCTACTCAAACCCATAAAGCAGTCTCAAAAAAGTTTGTGCGTCTCAGAAGTTAAAGTACTGCCGACCTGCATGGATTTCCAGCTAAACGACAAATAACTTGGCATTTAATAACTCCGCATTCGGAGGGCCTTTGGCTCCCCCAAAACTTCCCCGCCCCTTCCCCCCAACATCGACTTCATTATAATGCAGCTAAAGTCCCGACTTCAGTCCTGTTCCATAATTTAATACTTGCGCGCTTTGTCGCAAAACGAATTTATGTGTTGAAACTAAAGCTGAAATTGCGGCTTTTGGCCAAAAAGGTGTGTTTCTTCGTGTGCGTATGGGTTATATTAAATGGGTGCGTGTGAGAAAATAAATAAGGTTGCGATTTAGCTTGGAAAAAGAATCTCAACAAATTAGGCGTTCCCTTTGATTTATAATTAGGTATCGTTACATGGTAAAATGGTAAACGAAAGCTACTAATTTTTCCCCAAAACATCCGAAATGTATTACTTATATTGTATTTATTTTTTTATTTTCAGTCATATCATATCATATATATCATATAGCTCCAAAGCAAAAAATAATTTTTTTCTAATTGTAACTTTTTTTTTAATTTATTTAATTTTTTTAATAATTGTTTTGGACAAAGTATTAAATTTATAGCTTACAATTATCTTTTAGTTTTATTCAAATCGGAAAACGATGTCGATGTAGATCAAATTGGAAATGAAGATTTATTACAATGCAAAGACTTTCTTTAAGGTTCAATGCCATGTCACCTGGTCAAGTTTGAAATTTATAATTTAGTAATGTTTTTGGCACTAAACAAAAAACTTAATGTCGTTTCCCCAAAACACACTCTATACACCCCCTAATATCCAATAAAACTCCTGCTCAGATCATCGTTTAAACATCAAATTTAATAATCAGGCTGTCATGTTCATAATTGTGGCTCTTGGGGGCAGACAGGCAGGCAGCCTGGTCATCGAGCTTATTCTCCATCTGGCTGTGCTCCTCGATGGGCAATCATGGCAAAAGCCACCGGATTGGAGAACAAGAAACATTTCTCAGAAGGCAAAACATGACACATCTCATTATGACGACTCCCAAAAGATCTCAACCGCAGAATCCCTCGGCTTCTCTCATTTCGTGTGCTGCTGTCAGAGCATTTTGTTTATGATTTTGTAGCTGTCATAAAGTTATTAAAAGTATGTGACATTTTTATGACATTATGACGTCCCGACTCAAGGTTCCTCCTTTTGCCAACCGAAAAATCTGCTTTTGGGGATTTTTGACGGGGGAGAGCGGGGTAAATAAGAGGATACCGGCTTTTGTTTTCATCGCTCGAAAGTTCTGGGAGTGAGCCTGAACAGCTTCGCCCTGCCGTCCGCCTGTCTTGAAATATGATATCAAATAAAAAGCAAATTAAAGACGATAAAAATCGTGTCTGGGCTCACGCTGAGTTATATGAAAGATGCTTTTTTTTGCGCCTCTTGCAAATGCTGTTCAAGTCCCCAAACCAAATCCCTTCGAAATCAAGTATCGTTTAAGTTTCGCTTTTGGTTTTGGTTCTGGTTTCGTTTTCGTTTTCGGTTGCCTGTTGTTCATCTTGTTATTTGGTGGCTCATAAAACTTGTAAACATCCGACTGATTGTGCCCCTGTCTGGCTTTTTCTGTTTTTTTTTTGTTGTATTTTTAGTGTTTTGTGAGTCCGTGTGGGTGCTGGCATTCAGTTCGAATTGGTAAGATATTTCCAGATGATATTACACTTTTGATTGGCTTTGGTAATGGGGTACTGAGGGCGTGAGAGATCAAAGGGCGATAAGCGATTTAATTGCCCATATGTCCAAACTTATTGCCTTCGAAAGAGACCAACTCAAGTTACTATAATGGAAGGTTTAGATATGCAGAATGGGAAATGCTCAAAGGAATGGGATTCGAGTTGAATAAACAAAAGATATGGCCGAGGTGAGTGGTCAAGAGATGCGACCTGTGGCACCGTAAAAGGGTTCTAAGGTTTGGTCACTTAAAAAAAACACAAATGCTTACTTGCATGTTACTATTAAAATACTTAGTATATAAGATCTAGCTATTAAATTGTACCTTGTTATAAGCACACATATATCATATATTTCATTTCAATAAATAAATTTAATTTTGGTATAAAATATTACACTGATTTTAAAATTATTTATTAAATATTTTATTTCTAGCCAGTTTAAAAAACAAAAACTCAATATTTTGTTAAGCCCACCGGTTTTTCTATAAGCAAACTGATTTTTAAGAGGAATTAATTATTTTTTTATTGATTTGAGGAATGAAATTTTCCTCTCAGTCTTGTAATCTTCAATTAGATGTAGTTTAAAATAGATTTAAATAAATATTTTCCATCCTAATTGCCTTGGGGACTTATCACTTAGTTTAGATTATTGGCGACATCAACTTCAAAGTGCGTTTCGTTTGGAGGTGCGAAGATTATATCGTTGTCTTTTTGGCGGCTCTTGAGCGTTCTTGTACTGGGTATTTTTGTCGATATAATCGTCATCGTCCTCATCCAAGTCGTCCTCTTCGTCGTCCTCATCATCGTCCTCGTTCTCGTCCTCATCCTCCTCATCGCATTGCTGATCGTTTGTCTTTCCATCTTTCGGTTCCGCGTTTTCTTGCGTCTCGGAGTCCACTTCGATTTCCACAATATAGGAGATGGAATCTTCCTCTGTCTTCAATTTTAAATTCTTCGGTTTTCTAGATTTCGTTTCTTTAAGTGCCGGAGAATCTTCGCTGTCACTTGAGCTGGACTCTAGGAATTTGGCCACACGTTTCGGGGGCTTGGCATTGGCTTGTGGCTTGGCTTTTGCTTTCAACTTACTGCTGCTGCTGCTGGTCTGTGGACCCTCATCCTCCTCCTGATTGAGATTCGAGCCGCCACACAATTCCTGCATGGCCTGCTCCAAGTCCGAATCCTCCACGGCCTTGCCACCAGATGATTTCAATTTTCCCGCTGCCGAGGTGGATGGTAAAAAATCCATTTCCGGTCCCGAAGAAATTGGTGCGAGGCCATCGTCTTCATCGTCCGAGTAATCCATTCCAATGGGCAGATTCTGTTGGAAGCCAGTGGACTTGTTGGTGGCATCCATTACGATGTCCTTGTAGCCGGTGATCTTACTGCCATAGCGCGGCAGATACTCGGCGAAGAAGTCGTTGACCTTGGATAGTTCCACCTTGCCATAGTAACCAGCATAATCGGGCGCCTGTCCGATGCCCAAGTTGATCACCGATTCGTGGGGCCTCACGAATTTGTCCAACGAGGCGCCTTTACTGGGAGTCATGTCCAATAAGGCATTATTGAAGGCACTGCGACCCCGTTTCACATTCAACTGCGCCAGGATCTGTTTGTTGAAGAGATCGTTGCTATTGCGCTCCCTCAGGACCCCCAAGTCCGCCTGATAACCCAACAGAGTTTGGAACTGACATCGAGCCACCTGCAGAGGCGAGCGGCAGGTGAACGAAGTGGAGCAGAGGTCTCCTCGTCGGCTCATCCTGTCGATGTGGGCAGCATTCGCCAGGTGAAGCGGTGGCAGCCGAGACTCCTTTCTCTCCGCATCCTGATCTCCAATTTCCTGGGCCTCTTCGACCAGCGTTTGCAGCTTCTGGAGCGACTGACCCCTGGTGAAGATTGGGTTCTGATAGATCAGCAGGATGCTGGACACCTGCCGATCGGCCGGTGCAGCACCCTCCCGTCGCTCGAAGCCGTGGGCCAAAAGCAGGCCCGTGAATTGCAAGGGGTTCCGACAGTGGAAAATGGAGCTATCGCTGGCCAAATGCTCCTGCAGGCCACCATAGTCCAGCTCCAGTTGGCGACCATTGGTCGACCACTTGAGGAAGTCCACCGAGTCACTGGAAGTGGCCAGGAAAAGTTTGAGGACAAAGGGATAGCCCATTAGCGGGTGGTCCGACGGCGATTCTGGGATACGAATGCCCAGCTGGCGGTAAATCCTACGATGATCTTCCACGGCCTCTTGATTGATGTTGGAATTATAAGCAGAATTGAATTTAGATGTCCGTGGCATTGGTTTTGCCTCGTGCACCGGACTAGCTGAATCGCTGAACTTCTGCAGAGTTTCCAGGGTGTCCTCAAACTCCAGAAAATCTAGATTTTCCGGCGACGACCTTGACTCCAGCTGTTTGCTCCCATTTCCCCGACTTGTTGCAGCTATTTCTTCCACCTCGTCAGCTGATTCCCCCACAACACATTCCTTCACTTTCTGTTGGCCGCGCAGCTTAGTTCTAATCCCCGACATTATCTTTCCGTATAGACAAATTTCTACGACTTTTTTGTAGAACGTAAGTAGTAAAATTTTTTCACAAACGAGCAAGCCGGAAAAATATTTAGACAATCGATAGATTTGAGTTTACGTAGGGTTGTCGTAAACGTTAAAAACAAAAAGATACAGTGTTGTTAAAGTGTCTTTATGGTTACTTACCACTTTTAACGATGATTTAAAAGGGGTGTCCCAACTAATTTAGCCAAAATTTCAAAAACGGCAACACATATTTTTAGCAGTCACTTAAAAATATTATATTGTTATGAAAATTTACCATTATATAGTATGTACGTATTCTTTTTATTCTGTTTATTTTTCTAATTATTTATTTATTTATATTGCATCCTAGCAGCATTTTAGGCTTATAACATCATATATTTATTGCGGCGCAAAAAAATTATTATACTTTCTACTAATCTCTAATATTGTTTGTTTTCATTTATCGAACAATGAAGTTATGAACATAAATAAAATTATTTCTTCCTTAGTCTACCATAATATAAAATACATACTATTTAAATGAAAATTCAACTCTAGTTAAAGAGTGGAGAAAAGCCGAAACCAAACAAAGCCCATTTCATTCTATTTGAATGCGTTGCATGCATTGTTTGCAATAAATCTATTGTTATTTATACCCCCAAAACCCCCAAAAACCCTGTTTTTCGCTCACCCTTTTGTTCCTAAGGGCGGCAAAGTTCAAAAAGCAAAGTAAGGGAAGCCTTTCAAATGGGGATTCATGGGCTATATCAATAATAATGCAGACCGAAGCCGAGACAACAAAAAAGCCGCCAACATTGACACTCAACTGGTCTATAACCAATCAATGGGAAAAAAGGAGAAGGCGATAGCGGGCAGAAAGAGACAGCTACAGAATAGTAGCTTTAAATTGTCATTTATATGAATATTTAATAAACATCCTTTAATCATGAGGCATCCGTTGCGCACGCCCCAAATTATTCTGACTGATGAACGTTATTTGGATGAATGGATGGCTGAATGTGACCTGTTGTTTGATTCTTCTTTAATTATTTTTGACGGTGACGTAAAAAAATCAGACTACCAGCAGTTTTAAACAATAATTTAAAGTGTCACCGTAGGTAAACTACAAAAAATTAAGGTGATATAAACATTTCAAACATTTGAAAATACAAATACTCTACTTTAAGTTTTACAATACATATTTTTGGAACAGATATTTGGAACTGTTTTATTTCAAAATATTAAATTATTCAAATAATTTATGGTGAACCTTATCTATTATCTTAATTTATTCATTGTGAGTAACTTGCACTTTTGTTTCCTATATTCCTGCTTAAGTTATTATACTTATTCTACTGAATATATTAATGTATTTTATTACTCATTTACTTTTGCGAATATTTCCGCCAATTTTATTGTTCTTTTATTACAGTCGTTGTTATTTTGCGATCCCAAATTTGATGACAAAGTTGTAATTTCCTTCTGAAAAACATAGGGCAGCCCATGAAAAGCTGCATAACAAGAACGACAGCTGTATATGACGAATAAATTTACAAGTCCAGTTGGAAAAAAATAGTGTCCCAGCACGCACGTGATTTTGACAATATAACTCCCCCTACTTTTTTCATTGCTTCCTATTTTTTGTTGCTGTTACTTTTGGCGGAACGAAAAAAGTTTTCTTTGTTGTACTTTTTTATGATTTGAGTTGGTCGTGTGACGGAAGCCATACTTTATATGAGTTCATGAAAAAACTACATGAGTTTCGGTTTCAGTTTAACATTTTGATGAAGGGCTGGGGATTTAACTCCTTATCTGGTCAACCGATAAGCTTCGATCGAATTAATTTTTCCGCCCAGTCAGATCTCTCATCTCTTTTTTCTAAAAATATTTTATTAAAATTGGGAAAGATCATGAAAAGTAAATGCTAGAATGCCGCCGCCAAAATACTGCTTTGTTTTTGTTTAATGCGTGTCAAGTGGTCATAGATTATGTATTTTTATTGTTTATGGGGCGCTACTCCAGCGGTTTTTTCTTTTAGGTTTTGTTTTCCAAGCAATAAAATAAGAGGAAGACGGGACATGACCTTCTACCCCGTATTTTCCAGCTATTTTCCGCCCTTTTTCGTTGTCAATTGCATTTTTATGATCCCGATTCCAATTTCGATTATTTTCCGTTTTCTGAAGTGAGTCACTGCAGCAAGTGATACACTCTATAAGCTTCTCTTTTTCGAATGACTCATTTGTGGAGACAATCGAGTTCCAATCCATCAATCATTTCACATGCCATAAGCCAAACCTTGGAGCCCCATTGAACTTATTTGTCTGCTCTTCTTTTTCTTCGCCTTTAGCTTCGGCTAATTAATATAAATGAATAATTTCCATAATTTTTGAAACTGCATATTAAGGGACAAAGAGCTGGGGACTTGACAATTAGCGGCTAAAACATAACTTTGTATTGGGTAGCATGCAGATAAATCATTTTTCAAAACACAATGCATATTAATGATCATGGGGTAAGTTTAATCTTTTTCTTGAGAAACACCATAATTAAATATTTCGAAAGAGTTTACAATAAAGTTCATTAAGCAAAGGATTTCTGGGAATAGCTTAAGGAAGGGAAATGTAAGAAATATATTGGTTTATAAAATGGGATCTTTGTTTGACCATATCACATTTTCTCGTGCTATTAAACTTTGGAAACATCTACCAAACCAACTTAAAACAATTAAAGGCACTTTACAATTCGAAAACAATCTTAAATCATATCTTTGTTACAGTTGTTGTTAAATTTCAAGTGGCGTTATAAACAGAAAAAGCGGTTTCAAAGGTATTTTTAAAAAAAAACTATCCAGTCATAAATAACGTTTACAAAAATTATATTTCTTCCAATGTCGCATTTAGTGAAATTTCTCAAGACAAAATCAGTTCAACGAAAAATGTATATCTCCCAAAATTATCTACAATCTCTCACCCATGTTAAAAGTGACTAATTGAATGCCTATTATTCTCCCTCTTTGGCTGACCCTCAATCGCTTGTGCTCTAAAAAAATGCATTCCCGTTAAGACTAGAGGCAACTCCCGGTTTTGGTAATTTGATATTTTCGTTGTCCACAAATTTTTCACTAAATATGTTTAAACTCATTTCCCTTTTTCGTATCGCTTTCGCCCCTCGTGTCTGTAGTTATTCCATTCCCTTCGGTTCTTTGTCGCTTTGTCTTTTGGTTGCAGTGTTTTGTCTAATGAAGCGTTTAAACTCCCGTCCGTGGATGATAATTAACACAACTCCATTTCCGAACTGTACTGCAAAAAGGGATCTCATTAACCCTTGACATTTGTCACACGAACTCAGGGGAATTTTATTTGGCGTTTATTTTTTTTTTTTTGTTTTTTTTGAGTAGAAGGAGCTGTCGAGTGGATCCCAAGTTGGAGTTGAAGTTTCGGGCTCCTTTTGTCTGCTGTACAAGTCAATCTACGTGACATCCTTTTCATCCTTACTTTTTTACTCCTTTTTTTTCCCTTACCAAATTGTTGAAACAGATGTCAAATTGTTGTGCATTTCTTACTTTTTTGTTGCCTTTTCCTATTGTATTTGTTTTCTTTGCCATCACGGTGGTGGCCCCTTTTGTTTTCGTTTGTTTTGGTTCATTGACTTAGCGCGGTTTCGAGTTTCTGTGAAACACTCCACTCCACTCCACCCCCATGGCCAGAAACTCCTCCAGGGTTCCTCAATCGATTTGCAGTCCTCGAATAGGGCAACTTGATATGTCCCTCACTTTAGTTGGAAGGGAATCGGGAGTGATGAAAGTGAAGGGAGCAACACATGTGGTTTCGAAATTTGTAGATTCTATTAAAGATAATGCAATCTAGAGTTATGGACCATCTTTCGAGTAGTTGCCAAGGCTGGGTCGTATATTTAGAGTCCTAATTTTTCCGTGAAGTTATGGTTGTTAAAAGTAGATCTAAATTAGATCTGTATAGATCATTGGGCATACAATTTATATGTGGTTTGCATGGTTCGTAAACTTTTACGGGCTGAAACTATGAAATTAAATAGAGGTAGTCGATTTTTAGGCTATTCATGTTTCGAATTGTAATTTTTATACTAGAATTTGAATATTAATATAACTAATTATAAATAAAACATACGTTTGCAAAAAAAGTATTTTGATGGGAAGTAAAAACCATTGTTGGGAAGTAAACAAATAGTCAGCAATATTTTATGCCACTCTAAAGTTATGCCATCCGTTTCCCTAGTTATATATTCTCCATCTTGTCATTCTTGTTCTTTTTCCACACCTTTCTGAGCGAAGAAGACGTAGGAGACAAGCGAGGACACGCGGAAAGTGCGAAGAATCATTTTGCGATAAATAATACAACTTCATCAGCGACAAACGAACCCCCAAAAGCAAAGTCCCTCCCCCCGAGAGAAACCCCCAACCCCCCGCCCCGAAAAGCGTGAGGCGTGCATAAGTGAAATGTGCACAAGATACAAGATACAAAGATACATTCAAGACAACGGCGAACGGAGCAGCCAAAAAGGTAATTAATCATCGTCATGGGGCGTGTGCACGATTCGCTTAACGTGCGCCTTTGGCGGTGGTTCCCCCCTCAAAAGGGGCGGCCAGGGGCTCACGGAGGGGTCTGCGTGGGGGGCTGCGAGGGGTGCTGGCTGAGGGTCAGAGTTTGGTCTGTGCAGAGTCAGACAAACATATTACTCAGGGCATTTCCATATGGTCTACTCGAAAACTACACTTGAAAGACATAGCTTTTGCTCTATGAATTTGTACTTATAAGTTTGGTTTAAAATTATTAATTTAAATATATTTTGTTTTCGTTACTTAAGCATATAATTATGAATTACATTTCGAACTGTCGTTAGGCTAAATATAATTTATATATTTGTTGCTGCGAATATCAATATGGGCACTATGTTTTTATTCCTTATACTTAATCAACCAACTTTTACTATTAAAAGTCTTATACTAAATAAAATATAATCAGCAATAAAAATTAATTAATTAATATTAATTAAAAAAGAATTAACAGCTTATATTAAAAATG